TTGTATATTGTATTTTTAGTGTACAATTTATAAAATGTATAATTGAATTGAATGATTCAATTGAATGATTCAATTCTATTCAATTGAATAATTCAATTCAATTCAACTGAATAATTGAATTGAAATATAATTCATGTACTGTAAATTGACCCCTTTACAGTTTACAAGTCAGTGGCTTCTAGTATATTCATAGAGTCAATCAGCCATCACCATGATCTTAATTTTAGAACATTGTCATCAGCCCTGTCCCCTTTAGCAGTGATTCCCTAGTCCTCCCTTCCCCCTTCTCGCCCCACCTTGCAACCACTAATCCACTTTCTTTGTGGATTCACCTACTCTGGGCATTTCATATATGTGGAGTCATATCATGTGGCTTTTTGTGTCTGGCTTCTGCCACTTACTATGAAGTTCTGAAGGTTCATCCATGTTGTCACATGTATCAGCATTTCATTCCTTTTTTATGGCCGAATAATATTCCATCATACGGCTGTGCTATTTTTTTGTTTCTCCATTCATCAGCTGATGGGGCTCTCAGCTAGTTATTTTTGCTTTTTGCCTATTATGAATAACGCTGCTGTGAACGTTCACATGCAAGTTTTTGTCTGTGTATGACATTTTCGAATTTATGCTGTGTTTTCGGATCTGATTCGAACACTTTGTGAGATAAGGCAAGTTTTGCCGTTTCCATTTCATAGGTAGCGGAACAGAGGATCTCGGTTATAATTGCCTCGTACATGCTGGAGTCAGCATTCAAATCCAGTTCTATTTTTAAGAATCGCTGAAAGGATGTAAAAAGAAGCACACTATTCCTGAAGAAAGATGAAATTTGTTGTCTATTTTTAGTCTGGTGAAGATGAGAACGTGTTTACCCGTGCCTGTCAGAAAAGCAATGTCGAGACTAATTTACAGATTCCAGAAGAAAATGTTTCCCTGACAAGTGGTCAACGTTGCTTACAAGAGAATTAGAACAAAATTATACCCAGGCTGTTGTATAGGTGCAGGCGGTTTTGTTCTTTGTTATTTGATGATTTTTACTTTCAAGGAAAATCCAAAGACAGATTGTAGCTGTTCACAGTTCTAATGGTTTGCAGAAAGGAACAGCTCCAGGTTCTTTTTTTCTGCTAATTGTCACACGTCTCCTCTTGGAGACATGTTTATGACTAGATTTAAATCTTAACACAGTCTATTAATATTTCAGATTTGGCATCAGACACATTAAATAGTATTATTCATGCGAACCTTGCCAAAAGCGTTCTATAAGTCGAAACTTGACTAAATTAATGTAGTCCTTTTTGATCATTTGAGTCATTGTATATAGAAGTTTTGCTAGGGACTTTGGAAACAGTTTACTTCAAATTTTTCACCCAATTCATATGTTCCGGTCTATGAGTTGGGTCCCCCTTCCCCATCTGCCCTCTTATGGCCAAAAGCCGCATCACTAAGAAGAAAGAACAGGAGCTTAACAGCAAACAGGAGTCTCGTTCAGTTTTTTTTTTTTTTTTTGCTTGGGTTGTCTTTCCCCCCAATGGTATTCCTGATGAACTCTGACTTGCCCTTGCCTTTCTCCGGCTTGCTGGGGTTAATCACTCTTACCTGTGTCAATACTCATGTTCCCTTTATCACATTCCAGTGGCACGATTGGTTTAAATGACTGCGTTCTGTATCAGGCAATGGGCGTCTTGAGAGTTGTGTATTTTGTTCTCTTCAACATCCAGCGGAATTCCTAGCATGGCCACGCAATAAAGATTTGTTGAATTGGATTGACTTTTCCGTAGGATCTCAAGGACTCCGAGTTCTGCCTTGACTGCGGTTTGTAAAATTGCTATCTGCCATTACAGTCAATGAGCACTGAGCCCTCAGAGCTGGAAAAACTGAACTGGATGTATCCGATTTGTAAAGCATCTTGCACATATCCCCAGCACTTAGGCAGTTAATGAGTGTATACAGAATTGAAACCAAGCCAGATAAAAGTAGAATCAAAATTAATACTTAGAACGACTACCCACCCATATGCATGTAATTGGTGGGGCAGCAATGCATGGGGTATGTGAAAGGTTTAGATATATTGGGACTAGTTCATGGTCTTTGAGTGGGACTGGGTCATGTTATTAGCCAGTTTCATAAGGATCAATCAGTCTTCTTTCGACACGAAACTATTGAGCAATTAATTTGAGGGTGGAGTCAAAAAGACTTCCTGACTGATTGGATGTGGGTGTCACAGATGAAAGGGTCAAGGATGCTTCCAGTGTTTCTGACCAGGGCCACTGGAAGGATGGAGTTGCCGTCAACTGAGATGGGGGGTTTGTGGTGAAGCAGGTTCGTGCCAGATGATCCGCAGAGTCGGTCCTATGCCCTACGCAGGCGCTTGGGACACCTCAGTGAACAAAAGAAGTAAAGATTCCAGCCCCCACCTTTACATTTGCACGGAAGGTTTGGGACAAAAATGTGATCCATAAAAAAATGATATAGATGTTAGAAAGGGTAAGAAGTAGGAAAGGGTATAAGAGCAGGGAGCAGGGGTCAAGAGTGCTGGTGTGGGGTTGCGGGAGCATCTGGAAGTAGAACATTTTAAGCAGAGGAAACGATTCAAATGCACTAAGACACGTAGTGCCTACTTGTTCCTCCTGGGAACATTTGCGCATGAAGTCTGTATAACAGAGTCACTCAGGGAGAGGAGATCTGATGGGCCAAAGGGCAGGTCCCGTAGGGTCTAGCAGATCATTGTAAGGACTTTGGTTTGTGCTACTCCGGTCCAAACAGGGCGTCTTTAGTAGGTTTCCTGCAGAGTGATGGCATGATCTGACTGGAAAGACTGCTCTGGAAGCTAGGTTGAAAAGAGACTCCAGGAAGGTAGAATAGACCCAGGTGGAAGCAGAGAGACTTTTAAAGATGCTATGGCAGAAATCTAGATGAGAAGAGGTTGGATTCTGGATATATTTTGAAAGAAGAGCCAACAGTGACAGAAAAGGGAATCAGGACGGCTGCAAGGTCTTTGACCCCAAGGACTGGAAAGGTAGAGTTGCCGTCAATGAAATAGGGGACTCTGGAGGAGAGTTCTGCAGAGGAGGGTCACGAGTTGTTTAGCACCCCAACCTGGGACACCTGTTAGACATCCAGGTGATGCCCGCACTACGGGAGATGGGAGGTCCATTGGGTGAGAAGCCGCAGGGGACACAGCACTCCCTGGGTTACAGTTCTGGTGAGAAAAAGATGGAACCATCTGGAGAGGCTTGTGGTGTAGGGATTATACAAAGGATGAACTGTGCGTCGCAGAGGGCAGTGCGGGAATGGTTCAGAGAGTTGAGGCGGAAGTGAAGATGGCGTCAAATAGGGGCTGAGCAGAGCCTTGGGGGTAGAGTGAGGAAGATTCCAGATGGCCTGAAAGTCTGGGCCTTTTCAGGGTGATTGACAGGCACAAGGATGTGGGACATAATGAGATACGTCTTGGGGGCTTCAAGACAGTGGTGTTGAGGCTTTAAATGTCAGGGGCTGGATGAAGGTGGGTATCTGGGGCTTTCTTTGGACCCTGTTGGAGGTGATCCAGGCAACATGCTTTCCGTTGACCCCGCTGATGTGTTTGGGAGCCTCTGGGGAAGATAGAAGTTGCCCTAGCAGGTGCCCTCTATTGAGTCCTGTTTATGTAGGTAGAAGACATGGGATATTTGAGACCCTATTATATTTAAAGCACTAGGCTAAGCTATGTGGGGCACAGAAAAGTCATGCGGGTGTTGTCCTTAAACTTTTTGTGATTATTATATTAAAATTGAAATCATAGTCTCATCACAGTCTAAATAATGGCGGCCTCTACCATTCTAATACATCTTAGAAGAATCCCTCAAAGAGGGCATTTTGTCCATGATATTCCTCAAGATGGCCGCTGTGTTTACGAGAACACTTTTATTATTTTATTTTTGTAATTTTTATTTATTTTTGAGAGAGAGAGACAGAGCACGAGCAGGGGAGGGGTAGAGAGAGAATGAGACACAGAATATGAAGCAGACTCCAGGATCCAAGCTGTCAGCACAGAGCCCGATGTGGGGCTCGAACCCACAAGCTGTGAAATCATGACCCAAGCTAAAGTCGGACGCTCAACTGACTGAGCCACCCAGGTGCCCCATGAGAACATTATTTTTAAAGGCACTAATTGGCAGTCAGAAAATTCACGTTCAAGTTCCACTTTTTGGTTTACTAATAAATTGTGAATTTTCACGCTCTTTGTGCATTCGCTTTTGATGCCTTTTAATATCAGTATAATGAAATCTTGCTCACAGACAAATGAAAAATAAAATGTGATCATGCATGAAAGAAGTGTTATAAACACACAAAAAGGGTCGTAGAAATATAAGGTGGTATTCTCATGGTGAGAAATACTTAATGTTTTTCTGGATGTTTAATCTGTGAATACTGTGGGAGCCTCGAAAGCGCACGTTAAAACACTCAACAGATGCTGTGTCCCATCCACAGGAACTTGAGGAACCAGCAACGGTACTCTGAAAATGGCAATTCCTTCTTAGATTTAGTAATACAAAAAAGAAAAAGAAAAAAATAATAATATTCAAAATAGAATTGTCATCGTTTGCTTTATTTAGCAACGTAAGCTATAAAGAATGAGTGCGACTTTAATAGTTTTACATGCATTACAAGTTATTATGAAGTATTTTCTTTTCAAAGGAAAATTATAAACATCACAGGATTTCATTCTGGTTTTTTTCTCTTTTATTTTATTTTACATCTTTATTTGCTTTAAGTAGGTAATGTCTGCATGGTAAAATACTCAAGTACACAAAAGCACAGAAATAAAAGTAAATATTTTCATTTCTAACTCCTAGGACCTCCCCATATACACCCTCTGCATTATCTGCTCCCCCCTCCCCCCTGCCCCCTTCCCCCCAGAAAAGAAAACCTTCCGGCTATTACTATAACCAGTAGTTTTCTTTTAAGGGAGCAAATTTCTGTTTTATTTCATGAAAGCAGTCTAGAAAGCCAGTGTTATGGCAGGTGGGGATGTAGCTCAGTGGTAGAGCGCATGCTTAGCATGCATGAGGTCCTGGGTTCGATCCCCAGCATCTCCATTCTATTTATGTCCTGCTCAGGAAATATATTTCTTTGTGACAGCCACTCCACATAGTATAAGATTTTATTCTTAATGAATTTTAATCAAACACTTTAGAAATCAAAGGGAGCTGTTGTTGTTGTTGTTGTTGTTGTTGTTGTTGTTGTTGTTTTAATTTTGATGTTTTGTTGTTCCATTTCATATGCTGGCTCTACTTCCCTAATGGTTAATGATAGGATTTGGTCATTAAATAAGGGATCGCGTGCAGTCACTATTCCAAATGGAAGGTAGATGTGGTATTGAGGACCCAGGCATTCTACTCTGTTTTTTAGTACAGGAACTAATTTGGCAGCTCAGAATGAAGGGGAAGCAAGGTTACAGATGGCGGGTAGGATGGGACCTATTATCCCCAGTTAATCCCTGTATGAGCCAGCAATCAAACACAATGTGGTCAAAGTCAGTTCTGGAATATGCTCCCTATTGCCACTCCCTCCCGATTTTGAATCTACGATAGTTTACACACAGAACGACATCCCTCATATTTGTGATAGAAATACTATCACATAGAAATGCTAAAAAACAAGAAAAAAAAATCAAGCCACAGCTAGTTCAAGATGAGCAGGTATTCAGAGTCAGAACTAGCCACGTAGGTGACGGATCCCTATTCTGCAACTGAGCCTCCCAAATAGTCTTCCTTTTATACTTGCACCTCTTCTCAATGGAGGATAGTAATAAGGACATTCGTTTAACCTTTCTGCCGTGCCTGCTACTCAAGGCACCCGAGGCACAGGCTCCTAGGGCTGGAACCACTCTTGTTTTCTCTATTTTTACTGAAGTATAGTTGACATACAAGGTTATATTAGTTTCAGGTGTACAACACAGCGATTTGACAAGTCTATCCCTTGCACGGTGCTCCCCACAATAAGTATAGTCACCATATGGAAGCACTCTTGAGCGATTGCCTACTCCATCAGCATCCATTCTTGATGGCCTTGTTTCAGTTGAATTACCTTTAAGTCATGCCATCTGAATGCATCTGAGCTCTAATTGTAAATACACTTTCACTGAAAAAAAATGTTGATAATTTAGCACCTACCTACAGAAACAATCACATTTTGAGAAAATTTCCTATGCCTGCCTTCCATTTCTCGTGCCGTACTTTCAAGATAAATTAGCTGGAAATAAGGGAAGGGACACTACAAATACAAGGGCAAAGAAAGAGAAGAAGGTGTCCGTTAACCTCACGTGTCTCAATTGAGACGCAGAAGAAGCACAGTTAATGCGAGAGCTGTGAAATGTCACTATCATCACTGAGAAAAAATGGTACGAACCGTGGATCATCTACAGAGATGAGCTGTTGGTAAAAGCTTCTCCAACCATCTTGTTTGCAAGTGAGGTGCAAGGAAACCCAACTCAAAGTGGCTTAAATGACCAAGGAATTCATTGACTCCTGTAACTGGAAGCCCAGATACACGACATATTTTGTTGCCTTAATCCATCGACCTTGGCTTCGTTTCCTTTCTTATCTCTCCGTGGCTCAGCCACATCCTCAGGCTGGTAGGGACTTGGATGCAACAGTTCCAGACACACGTGTCCATGAACAACACCACCGTTGGATGACAATAAAATGCTTCTGGAAGCTCATTCTGAAGAGCGTGGGGCTACCTCTTCTCATGACTCATTGGCAAGAATTTTCGTCGGCCCAATCGCCGACAAGAGTGGATTTACCCTTGAGCTAGAACTCTGTTTGGAAGGCCTAATGGGGGATGGGGAGGGGACGGAATGCTAAATAGACAATTGCCAGTGTCGACCTGTTCTATCTCTTTCTGTTGGATTTTGCTGGGGGCAAGTACCATATTTTACTCATTCTTTATATCTGGCATCTATCCTAGTGGCTAGTAAATAGGAACAGCTGAACAAACGCCATTGAATAAATAAATTACTGAATTAGTACCTAGAAGGTGGCAACTCTGATCTCTATTCGTCCTGTGGGTAAAAAAAAAAAAAAAAAATCAAGTCCAAAGAATCCCTGGTTTTCTGATATGAAAAGGCAAAGTATTTGTAAAGGCATTCTATCTGGAGGGGACAGAGGAAGACACAATCATAAATCAGGACTCAAATGCCATAGTTTACCCAGAACAATATAAATGTTACAAACTACACTGGGAGAACTTCCAGTGGGAAGGACAAGCCAATCCTGCCTGCTTTGGAGCAACCTTTTGCTCCCGGATGGGTCCAACCTTGAGCTGTGTTTTAGTCTATTTCATCGCATTGGTGATGCCTTGAAGTTTCAGGCCACTGCTCTTTTAAAAAGTAAATCATTCCACAGGTGGGCGTCTTCGGGAGGAGCCCTCCTGTGTTTCATTGTAACAAAGTGAGGACTTCCTCCTTGAGTCTGCCTTCTCATTCCGATTCAGAAGAAAACAAACAAGCCTGACCTCAACCTCAGTGACTGCACACACCTGCAAGGGTGTTTACTAATGTGAACTTAACCGTGTTGGTCTGGGCCCAGAGCTTGCAAATTTGTTGGGCTGGCTCAATGTGTGTGGTTTTTCTTTCTTTTTATAATATTTGGATTTGAATGGCTTTAGGTGAGTCACACTCTTTTGTTCACTAGAAGCTTCACCACCTCCTATGTGACTTTATGCATTTACCTTACCTGCCTGGGCCCCCGCAGGTGTTGACCTTGGCACCCCAGACTAAACCACAGAAGGAAGCAGACATAAGGGCTGAGTTTATTTAGGTTAAATACAGGAAAAATACAAAGAAAAACAGATGCTTTTCCACCATCCAAGAATAAATATAATTTTTACCATTTTCTTCTTCTTTTTTTTAAGTTTCTTTATTTATTTTGAGAGAGAGAGAGTGTGAGTAGGGAGAGGGCAGAGAGAGAGAGGGAGAGAGAGAATCCCAAGCAGGTCCTGCCCTATCATTGCAGAGCCTGACTGGGGGCTCGATCCCATGAACCATGAGATCATGACCTGAACCAAAATCCAGAGTCAAACACTTAACCAACCGAGCCACCCAGGCGCCCCAATCTTTGCCATTTTCAATCATCACTTCCAGAGCTGTGTCGAAACCAGCATTGGAAGGACCTTCAAAGCTTGGTTATCCTCGTATCTGTCGATATAGAACCGTGACTTTGGATTGACCTGGAACTCCAACTTAGAACTTCCCTAAGACTGTGGTTCATCTTAATAGTTTCCATTAGGTTGTCTGATTTTAAAATTTTTTTTTCAACGTTTTTATTTATTTTTGGGACAGAGAGAGACAGAGCATGAACGGGGGAGGGGCAGAGAGAGAGGGAGACACAGAATCGGAAACAGGCTCCAGGCTCCGAGCCATCAGCCCAGAGCCTGACGCAGGGCTCGAACTCACGGACCGCGAGATCGTGAGCTGGCTGAAGTCGGACGCTTAACCGACTGCACCACCCAGGCGCCCCAGGTTGTCTGATTTTAGAGAGAAGAATCATGTTTTCTGTATGTGCACTGAGAAGCAGCCTCCCCAGTCTGCCCCAGCCTTATTCCCTAGCATTGTAAGTTGTTTCTATTATTAACTTTCTTTCCGTAGTTCCCATGTGGGTTACCCTGGTGATTTGTCTTCTAGTGTTCCTACACATCCATTCTTACTATCTTACATTCAGGCATCCGCTCAATGAATATTTGTTGAGCACCTACTGTGTGCCGGGCACTGACTGAACAGGGGTTTACCAGCCTTTGCCGAACTGATGGACGCTAACTTTGTGTGAAAAGCTCTGAAAAATGAGAACGGTTACTTTAAGTCAGCGATTTAAGGGAAACTTTGTTCGGGACAGATATAACACAAATCCTTACACATCGATGACATGTTAGCTACTCTAATTAGTAGGTAAGTGACCTGCTTTATCCCAGTCATTCCCCACGTATCCAGAGTGACTTAAATATGCACTTTAAAAATATTTTGGTTTTATTATAGATTGCCAGAACAGTTGCAAAGACAATACAGAGAATTCTTTGTACAGGCATCCACTTTCCCTTATGGTTACATTTTATTAAAAAAACTTTTTTTTAAATGTTTATTTATTTTTGAGAGAGAGAGACAGAGAGGGAGCAGGGGAGGGGCAGAGAGAGAGAGAGAGAGAGAGAGAGAGAGAGAGAGGGAGACACAGAGAATTCGAAGCAGATCCAGGCTCTGAGCTGTCCGCACAGAGCCGGATGCAGGGCTCGAACCCACTAATAGAAAGATCATGACCTGAGCTGAAGTAGGAGGCTCAACTGGGCCCCAATGGTTACATTTTATGTAACGATAGTATAATATGAAATCCAGGAAACTGACATTGGTACAGTGTGTATAGGGTTTTTTTTTTTTTTTACGTTGATTTATTTTGAGAGAGAGAGAGGGCACAAGCAGGGGAGGGGCAGAGAAAGAGAAAGAGAGAGAGGGAGAGAGAGAGAGAGAGAGAGAGAGAGAGAGAGAGAGAGAATTCCAAGCAGGCTCCACACTCAGTGCAGAGATTGACACCAGGCTTGAACCCATGAACTGTGAGATCATGACCTGCGCCGAAATCAAGAGTTGGACACTGAACCGACTGAGTCACCCAGGAGCCCCAGTGTCATTTTGTTACATGTGTAGGTTTATGTCATCATCACTACAGTTAGAAGAGGAACGATTCCAACACCACAGACATTTCCCTCTTGCTACCTGCTCCTCCCTCCACGGCCATAAACCTGGACAGCCAGGAATGTTTTCTGTAATTTTGCCATTTTGAAATACTTACAGAAGTGGAATCATATAGGATGTGAGCTTTTGAGATTGGCTTTTGGTGCTCATTAAAGTGCCCTTGAGCCCCGACCACGATGTTGGTACATCAATAGCTCATTACTTTGTGTCACTGAGTAGGTAGTCCATGGCATGAATGCACCAGCCTATGGGCTATTCAATTAAAGTTGCTGTGAACAATCATGTACAGGTTTATGTGCACAGACATTTTAATTTCTTTGGGATAAGTGCAATTGGTGGGTCATACGCTAAGTGTATGTT